AAAAAGTTCAAACTTTAGAATTTTTTTTTAAGTTTAAAAAAGCCTGTGCAAGACCATCTAGACGGGCGGCCCTCATAGCCCGCCAAGTCTATTTAAGACGGGCTTTTCATAGCCCGTACGGTTTTTATTCCTGCCGAAGCCTGAATATGCCTGGGGTAGATTGGGTTTAGTCTTTCATGAAGAGACATTGCTTAACAAAAAGTGTTGCTGATAATGTTAAGCACAGTAGAGCTATGGTCAACAAAGATACCCTTAACAAATATTTTGATAATTTGTATAAAGAATTGAAGGATATACCTCCAGAAAATATCTATAACTATGATGAGACCAATATAACAGATAATCCAGGGTCCAAATCTGTTATTGTGTGTCGAAAAAAATCAAGAACATTCGAAGCAGTCGACCAGTTTAATGTTTTCTGGCATTGCTGTCGGAGAGTTTTTGCCTCCTATGATGGTTTACAAAGCAAAGAATCTTTACCAGGGTTAGACTCAAGGTGGACCACCTGGATCTGTTTACAACATCACCCCTAATGGGTGGTTTGATGGTAAGACATTTACCAGATGGTTTATAGAAATATATTTGCCTGTTGCTATTTCAAAAGCCGGAACAACACTGTTGATTGGAGATAATCTTATTTCACATTTTTTTCCTGAAGTTATTGAATCCACGATTCAAAATAACATTAAGTTTATAACAATGCCCCCAAATGCAACTCATCTTTGCTAACCATTAGATGTTGCTGTTTTTAGAGGATTAAAGCAGTCATAGAGGAGTATTCTTTTGAAATGGAGATTAGAAAGTCGTATCGAAGGAGCTATTCCAAAGGAACATCTACCTACACTTTCAAATAAACTAAATAATACTTTGCGGCCAGTAGCTTTGATTAGCAGATTTAGAGCAACGGATTGCGGCCAGTAGCTTTGATTAGCGGATTTAGAGCAATCTACCCATGGGACAGAACAGAAGTTATAAAACGTCTTCCAGGAAAATATAAAGATCCTGGTGGTAAAGACACCGTTATGGTTCTTAACGAATCCGTTTTAGATATTTTATAAAGCAATTTAGGGTTAGGCGCAAATCCACCTACAAAATGTAAACCTTGTGGTCCAAAGGTGGCACCAGGTAAAAGAATTCATTCTATAGTTGAGTCAATTCCATCTAGCTCAACAGAGCTAAACAACAACACTGATAATGATTGGTTACTTTCTGTAACATTACTTTCTGTAACAAAAAATGGGTAGAGTTAAGCGACGACGTGTGGATTCAATGCGATAAATGCAGTAAACCATATCACCTCCAGTGTTGTGGCCTCATTTATGATAAAGATGATTATTATGAGCTCAATATTGTAAATATCGATTTTGTATAAAGCATGTGTGAGTCATTTGAAGAATTTGAGGATAGGGATATTTGATGTTCTGTTTTTATGCAGAGCATTTGTAATATTGTGATACATGTTGTAAATATTGTGATACATTGATTTGTAAATATTGTGATACATGTTAATATATTGAAAAAACTAGGTTTTAAACATAGTAGACTAATTTTTCATATGAACTTAATTTAAATAAAAATATGTTCTATGTAAAATAAACTTCCTGTTATCTGTTTTGATCTTTAACAGTTTTTTCCCCCATTGTAATAAGGTAATATAGCCATATACTAGGATATAAAAATAATATGTAGTGTTCAAAGTCACTCCAAATTGGCTGTTCATTTTCACCCCGTTTCGGAAATATGTATATGCTCGTAAAAAACCAGAAAACTAAGGTATTTACTGCATAGTGTTGATCAAGCTTACGACTTCAGGAAGCTGAATAGTTTAATGTTCTGTTACAGAAAAAATGGTAGCGATTAGGCCAACAGTTTTCTTCCATGATGCAAAATTGTTCAAAAAGCCTTCATATTTACCCCAGTTGATGGTAACTTGCTCAGGAACCATGGAAAATAACTTAAAAGGTAGGCAAATTAATTTATGGAGCTAAACTGTGCTAAAACATAGATTACAAATGTTAAACTCCTTCCATTTATTTTTGCTTGAAAAATTGTAATGAGTTATTTTTTTTTTATTATGTAGAATTATTTTAAAAGAAACATAAAGTGTTTTATGAGGACAAGGAATTTCCATACACTGGAGTACCATTTATTGTATCAGCCCTAAGAAAACTTGACTGTCAACATGGAAAAGACAGAAATATTAAAGCAAAAGCTCAGTACAGATTAATGTTAAGCTACAATACTGTCGCTTATCATTTTTTTTTTATATACTCACATTTGTACTACTGATAAAACTTTACAAGACTGATGGAGTTTTATTGATTTATACATAAATTTATAGAACTGTTCACATGATGGCCACAGTCCTGGAATGTCCTGGAATGTCCTGAATTGTCCGGGAAAATTACATTTTTTTCAAAAATGTCCTGAAATGTCCTGGAACTTTAAAAAGTCAAGTTAAAAAATTACTAAGAATATTGAAGTAATATTAAATTTTTTATGCGAAATTTTTTTTTATATAAATGGTTTGAATTTAATTTTAAATGAGAGAGTAATAATTATATAATAATATAATATTCTATTCTATAATTCAATCAATATGAAAAAAATATACTGTAAAGATAATTGATAATATTCATTTAATAAGATATAAAATGTCCTGGAAAACGCAACAAAATGTCCTGGAATGTCCTGGAATTTAACATTTAAAATTTTGTGGCCACCATGTGTTCATTATTAGATTAGTTGTGCTATCTTGAAATATAAATTTTCTAGCTATAATCTCTGGATTAACAAAGAAAAGCATCTAGACAAGAGGCCCTCCTTAGTTAATCCAAACAAATTTTGATTTGAACAGGGTTCACACCAGATAAAACAATTGAAATTCCAGAACTATCCAGGACAACGTTTTCCTTTTACCAGGATATTTGCTTCATTATTTCCAGGACACAATATAAAAAGTTTTTATAGATAGACTTTTTTATAGATAGCCCAAAGATAACACAAAATACGCTACTAAATGTAATAAATACTAATTAATTTAGAAATCAAATGTAGAATAAAGAAATATATTACAGCTACTTAAATATAGCTACCAGCACTGCATAACTAAATGTATATTCAAATAAAATTTAACAAGGAACTATTTTTATTTGAAAGGAAACTTTTAATGCAACTAATTTCAAAAACATTAGAATCATTTCAAAAACTCATAACATAAATACGGTTTTAGCAAAACAACGAAACAAAAACTAAAACTTTACTCTATAACTATGTGTACAAAAATATGCTTTTAAGATTTAGCAGTGAATTTACAATTTTCATGAGTCATCTTTTTTTCTATATTGTACAAATCCTCGATTTCCTTTTGTAACAGCGTAATAAGATGTATTAGATAGGGAAGTGAGCAACTCATTTTTTAAAAAGTAAGCTAATCCAAATGTTTCAACATAACTGGCATTGGTGGGTCCACATTGAAACAACTTAGCAATGACTATCTGGAAACATTTTACTAAATAATTTACCAGAATCAGCTGAAGAATTCATTGAATATTTAGAATACACAATATTAAGGACCCAACAAACTTCAGCATCTAGCGTAGATGTATTTATTAGCATTTTATTAATTTTTTTTTGTTGTTGTTCTGCTTTATTTGAGCATTTTGACACATACTCATTAACTTAAACAGTGTTAGTAGCAGTTGGCATCAATGGCTTGATATTGTTAGCAGAAGGAGATCTCTCTATGTGCTTTTTACCTTCCATGTGCGAAGTTAAAGCAGCTTTTTCTATGTTAGCAATATTAATGTCTTTAGCACGATAACTGAAAATCATAACAGTTTCTGTCTTTTCTGTCAACAAGCTATTTCAATTGAAAAATACATGTATTTTTAGGCATTTTCTAATTATTTTATCCGAAAACAAAACCAAAAAATGTGAACATTTAAGGAGTTAAAAAGCATTTAGAATCTCTATTATTTCATACTTTAAAAAATTATTTAAAACTATACAACAATGCAAGAATTAAATGCTAATCAAAAATGTATACATAAACTGCTTATATATTTATGATTTATGGAAACCTCTATGATGATATCTTTTAACAAATATTTTTAAAACAATTATACCTTATCGTATTATTTCTAATATTAAAAAAGACCTAAACACGAAAAGTCTTGCCTATGCTTGTAGCTGAAATTTGAGAGCCACGAGGGTTAAATTTTAATATTGTTTGAAATATTTAAAGCAACAACTGCATAATATATATAATCCAACAACAAATCATATATATATATATAATTCAATAACAAGTGCATATAACATTACACTTGAATTATTACAAAACGATAAAAAATAGTAAATAATTAGAAATGCCTTAACTTTTACTACGCGTACTACGAGGTTTCAAAACTTTAATGTTGTTTGAAATAACATAAAAGTAATGCATGCGTATAACATTCAAAAAAACAGTTCTTGGTCTGGGATTTCTTCAAAATCGAAAATGTTAGAATGAACGACATTAAATAGCACTATCCTTTTTTTCACTTCTTTTAAGGCAGCGTGGGTAGACATTTTGTAAAGTTTCTTTTTAGAAACATATATACACATAGATACTTTTTGGAAAGTAAAAAAACTAATCTTTATTTTTTAAAGACTTATATATGGTTAATAAACTTTTTTTATGGATTATTTTGCTCCTAAATATTTGGTTGATGTTCTCACATGAATTTGTAGTTGAAGAATTGTAGTCAAAGAATTGTAGTGTCTGCTTTTTTTATTTTAAAAATAGTTTTCCTTATGCATTTTTTATGCACATACCAAATTTCAAGGAAAAATAATTGAAAGCAATTAGTTTAATTAGTGTAGGACTTTGGGCACCTAATTTTGGTTTTTCTGTTGTGTTTTTTTTGGTAAGCGAAATCCGGGAAGGGCCAAAATACGGATAAGGGGGCAATTTAAAAAAATTTTTTATTTTGTATTATTTTGATTTATATTATTAGATTGAATTAAATATGGATAAAATCAACAAAAATATCTTGGATGCACTAACAGATAGTAGGTTCAATTTTTTAAATTCATAATAATAGTATTAATAACTATTTTCAAATTCAAAATATAATGATTAATTTAAAACCTTACATATAAAAATTTTATGAAGACACCACATATAAATAAGTATATCACATACAAAAAACTTGTATAAAACTTGTATGGAAATTGTATATAATATGTAAATGTTAATAGGCATTCATAATATCTTCCTTTACAAAAAAAAATACTTAATAAACTTAAGTTGATGTTTTTTACTTATTCTATACTATCTTGATCTTATTTTTGTTTATTGTTTACATAAGTGTATAAGAATTATTAATGTTAAATGGTTGTTTATAAATATTTTTTTATATTATAATATTTTGTTATATTTTCATTGTTTATTTTTATTTTGTTAGTATAGTTGTTGCCACTTAAGCAGAACAGCTTCCACAGTTGTCACATTTGTAACTTACTATTGACATTTTAAAAGTATTTTGTGTTATAATACAATTTCTTTTGTTGTTTTTAGTGGAATCTATACAGTCTACCACTGGTAAGTTGGTATAGCTTTGTATAAGTTTATATATATATTAAGGATTATAGAATTAGCACTTTAATTAGTACTTTTTAATCAGTGAATAGATTTTAAAGATTACTAATTTCAAAGTCATCAATTACAATATTTTATATTATAACTTTTTAACTTTAGTTACGTCTTCATCTGTAATAAATGGTAAGTTTAATAATTACTACTGTATGCATTTTCAAGTACAGCAATATTTGTTTTTTGTTAAAACTTTTTAACTTTAATTCTATTTTCAACTGCAATGAGTGGTAAGTTTATATTCTTATTGTATACTATAACAAACTTGTTTATATATCTATTTATTTCTCAACAATTGCAATATTTATTTTTTAATACACATTTATATACACTATTTAATAAGTTTGTATTATGTTATACCTCAAAATGCAGTAGAATGAAAATTAATAGCAGTAAATGAATTTTTTTTCTCATTAACATTTTTTGAACCTATCATTGAATAATTAGTCCTAACAACTAATTGTTTTATATTAAATTTTACATGTTGTTTAGTACCAATCTATTAATGATTCATTGTCATTTAGAGCTTACATATCAAGCATATCGCGTATATAGATCCCAGCATACTGGACCCTCAGGTAATACCTCGTTTAAACGATGGGTCCAGTTAGGAGGGAAAGACAATGATTGGTTTCAATGGCCGTATCATCCTCCTAACAGGGGTGCTGGGAGCTACAGGAGAGGGGGAGTTCATGGTCTCTGGGAGCTACAGGAGGGGCAGAGGTCATGGCAGCAGAGAAGACCAAGAGGGAAGATGAATTGGTGGAAGCCTTGTGGTCCATGGTGATTATTACAATTAGGGGCTACCATTCCTTTTTTTTTTTTAATTTAATATCAGCACATTTGTTTTCCATTTTGTGTCCCAATTTTTACAATTTTTAACATTTGAATGATTTATTTTCAAATTTTTACCCCCCAAAAAAATTTAAAACAAAAGATTGACAATTGTAATAGTTCCAATGAAATATTCTTCAATCATTCAAAAGTTATAGTATAAAAAGTAGTAAAGTTTAAACTATTTATAGTTTTTATAGACTTTTAAATAGAGTTAGGTTTATTTATGACTCCATAGCCTATATTATTTATTTGTAATATTTCAAATGTTGATAAATGTGAAGAGTCTTTTACATAATTATTTACTATTCTTGTTTTAGTTTATTTAAATTCTGTTACTTATATTCTTTTTAAATTCTTTTTTTAGTTTATTAAATCTTGTTTTAGTTTATTTAAGTTGTTTGTATGACTTTAGTAATAGTTATTTGATCTTAAATTAATTTGGTTTATGTTTACAGTTCCTAAAAATTTTATTGCATTATTGAGATTGAAATACTAGTTTCTTATAAACGTGACTTGTTTGATTAAGGTATGTATGAGATTTTTTAAATATTGTTTTATATGATCTTGTACATGCTGTGTTATAATGTTATTAATTGTTAACAAATTATATATTTGTTTAGTTATCACAAAAGTTATTAGAAACTATAATATATTAACTCTTTATATATACTTTTTAAAAGCCATTATGGGTCCAAAAATTGTGTTTTTGGATGCAGTGAAAAAAGATTTAGCTGCGAACTTCACTTTGCATGGCGAAATACATACACAATGTAAAAATGGACATATAATCCTCTCATTCACTAATCACGGTGAGTCAATTAGTAATACTCTTAAACAAGTTATTTAGTTAATAAACTAGTAAATGTCAACTCTAATGTTATTAACATTGCAAAAAAATGGACAACCCATTATGTAAGGGATTGTTCAAAATTTTTAAATTTTTGTAATCAGCCCCTTGCATGCCATGCAACAAGCGTGTCATTGAGACAGGCAATGCATTTTAAACAGAGTAGTTCATTGGTTACTGTTTCAGAGTCTTCTGTTCAGTCATCCCATTTTACCCCTAGTTGATGACGAATCTATTTTGCTTGTAATTTCCTTAAAAAATAAAAAAAGAGAGCATGCTTCTCGGGAAGAGCTAACCTCAAAGAAAGCCAAACTCATCACTAGGTTATCATTTATCTGCTCAGTGATTGAGCTCAACCAGAGGCCACAGTAAAAAATTGCAAAAGTTAAATCAAAATACAATAGCATACCATATAAGTTAAAAGTATTCAGGCAAAACATCAAAAGAAAAGAAGATATTATTAAAGCTTTGAGGGTAGAAGTTAGAGAGCTAAAAAAATAAATTAAAACATACTATTACAGTAGGTTAATTCTCAATCTCAAAGCAAAAACAAAGGCATTGAAAGTAAAAGAAAAAACAAAATCTAATGGAAATACAAGTAAAACATAATACTGCTGGTAAGGCAAACAAAATGATCATTACTCAATTAGAAAATGACATTTACCAGATAAAAGAGGGGAAAATTCCAAATGATAATATGTCAGAAGGCGATAAAAGTTACCCTTTAAAAATGAGGATGATAATTTATGGCATGTTATTAGCTAATGTTCCAACAGGTAACATTGGATTCCTAATTTCAAAAATTGGGCAATATTGGGTGTTAACTTTACGGATATTCCTCACCGTTGTACTATTGAGCAAATGGCTTGTGAGCTTGGCAGTATAGCAGAACTGCAAGCAGCAGAATGGGCTACGAGTAATTTTTTTCTTACTCTTGGATTTGATGCAACAACACAAGTAGGTGTTCATATTAACACTGTTCATCTGAACTCTAAAAACAACAGTTAGGTCATTGTGCTGGATCACTAGCTGGATACTAGGTGGGACAGATGTTGATTATGAAAGCCATATATGTGGTGCAGTTGATCATTTAGCTTTTATTTATTCAGATTTTCACTCGCTTCTCTTTATTGAATGTTGGAGTACAATCATATCAAATATATCCGACACAATGTCTGCCAGTAGCGGTTAACCATTTTACCATTTCCAAAATTTGTAAAACTTGGGGGAAGAATTTGAATGAGTTAAATTGTCATTTGCACCCTCTAGATACAATTGCCATTTCATGTCCTGAAGCCTTAAAATCTTTAGAATTTGAGTATTGCAAATTGTTTGGATTTAATTCTATGGCAGTCAGAATTGTTTTAGCAATGAACAAGATGAGGTTTAAAGATGGCAAAGGTGATCCCAAAGGTTTAGTTAATTTTTTAGACAATAACAAACTACCATGAAGTATTATTCCGCAGTATCGTGGAAACCGTTGAACATTCTTTCCCATACTTGTTTCATTTTTATGAAACACTTTACTGCTTTTCTACTTTATCTGACAACTGGAACAGTAAAATGTTTTAGTTTGCTACCAATATTGAAGTAGCATTTTATAACACAACGTCTATATAACAAATTGGGATGCTGGCACTATTAAGTAAACTTCTCAGTGGACCATAGATCGACTAAGTTTTATGTATCAGCTGATGATGCAAGTTTTGATTATGTCACCAGTACTCAGGTAGTAAAAGATTTTGTAGCTTGCAAATATGGTACAGCAAGTTTTGTAGCTTGCAAAAGAAGTACCGCAAGTTTTGTAGCTTGCAAATAAAGTAGTGCAAGTTTTGTAGCTTGCAGAAGAAGTACCACAAGTTTTAAAGCTTGCAAATATGGTACAGCAAGTTTTGTAGCTTGCAACAAAAGTACCGCAAGTATTGTACTTGCAAATATGGTACAGCAAGTTTTGTAGCTTGCAAAAGAAGTACCGCAAGTTTTGTAGCTTGCAAATATAATACAGCAAGTTTTGTAGCTTGCAAATGTAGTACCGCAAGTTTTGTAGCTTGCAAATATGGTACAGCAAAATTTGTAGCTTGCAAAAGAAATACCGCAAGTTTTAAAGCTTACAAATATGGTACAGCAAGTTTTGTAGCTTGCAAAAGTAGTACCGCAAGTTTTGTAACTTGCTAAAATGGTACAGCAAGTTTTGTAGCTTGCAAATAAAGTACCGCCAGTTTTTTTGGTTGCAAATATGGTACAGCAAGTTTTGTAGCTTGCAAAGAAAGTACCGCAAATATTGTACTTGCAAAAATGGTACAGCAAGTTTTGTAGCTTGCAAAAGGATTACCGCAAGTTTTGTAGCTTGCAAATATGGTACAGCAAGTTTTGTAGCTTGCAAAAGGAGTACCCCAAGTTTTGTAGCTTGCAAATATGGTACAGCAAGTTTTGTAGCTTGCAAAAGAAGTACCGCTAGTTTTATAGCTTACAAATATTGTTTAGCAAGTTTTGTAGCTTGCAAAAGAAGTACCGCAAGTTTTATAGCTTGCAAATTTGGTACAGCAAGTTTTGTAGCTTGCAAAAGGAGTACCGCAAGTTTTGTAGCTTGCAAATATGGTACAGCTAGTTTTGTAGCTTGCAAAAAGAGTATCGCTAGTTTTAAAGCTTGCAAATATGGTACAACAAGTTTTGTAGCTTGCAAATATGGTACAGCAAGTTTTGTAGCTTGCAAAAGATGTACCGCAAGTTTTGTAGATTGCAAATATGGTACAGCAAGTTTTGTAGCTTGCAAAAGGAGTACCGCAAGTTTTGTATCTTGCAAATATGGAACAGCAAGTTTTGTAGCTTGCTAAAATGGTACAGCAAGTTTTGTAACTTGCAAAAAGAGTACTGCAAGTTTTGTAGCTTGCAAAAGGAGTACTGCAAGTATTGTGCTTGCAAATATGGTACAGCAAGTTTTGTAGCTTGCAAAAGAAATACCGCAAGTTTTAATGCTTGCAAATATAGTACAGCAAGTTTTGTAGCTTGCAACAGGAGTACCGCAAGTTTTGTAGCTTGCAAATATGGTACAGCAAGTTTTGTAGCTTGCAAATGGAGTACCGCAAGTTTTGTAGCTTGCAAATATGGTACAGCAAGTTTTGTAGCTTGCAAAGAAAGTACCGCAAGTATTGTACTTGCAAATATGGTACAGCAAGTTTTGTAGCTTGCAAAATGGGTACCGCAAGTTTTGTAGCTTGCAAATATGGTACAGCAAGTTTTGTAGCTTGCAAAAGGAGTACCACAAGTTTTGTAGCTTGCAAATATGGTACAGCAAGTTTTGTAGCTTGCAAAAGAAGTACCGCAAGTTTTGTAGCTTGCAAATATGGTACAGCAAGTTTTGTAGCTTGCAAAAGGAGTGCCCCAAGTTTTGTAGCTTGCAATTTTGGTACAGCAAGTTTTGTAGCTTGCAAATGAAGTACCGCAAGTTTTGTAGCTTGCAAATATGGTACAGCAAGTTTTGTAGCTTGCAAAGAAAGTACCGCAAGTATTGTACTTGCAAATATGGTACAGCAAGTTTTGTAGCTTGCAAAAGGAGTACCGCAAGTTTTGTAGCTTGCAAATATGGTACAGCAAGTTTTGTAGCTTGCAAAAAAAGTATCGCTAGTTTTAAAGCTTGCAAATATGGTACAACAAGTTTTGTAGCTTGCAAATATGGGACAGCAAGTTTTGTAGCTTGCAAAAGATGTACCGCAAGTTTTGTAGATTGCAAATATGGTACAGCAAGTTTTGTAGCTTGCAAAAGGAAAACCGCAACTTTTGTAGCTTGCAAATATGGAACAGCAAGTTTTGTAGCTTGCTAAAATGGTACAGCAAGTTTTGTAACTTGCAAAAAGAGTACTGCAAGTTTTGTAGCTTGCAAAAGGAGTACTGCAAGTATTGTACTTGCAAATATGGTACAGCAAGTTTTGTAGCTTGCAAAAGAAATACCGCAAGTTTTAATGCTTGCAAATATGGTACAGCAAGTTTTGTAGCTTGCAACAGGAGTACCGCAAGTTTTGTAGCTTGCAAATATGGTACAGCAAGTTTTGTAGCTTGCAAAAGGAGTACCGCAAGTTTTGTAGCTTGCAATTATGGTACAGCAAGTTTTGTAGCTTGCAAAAGAAGTACCGCAAGTTTTGTAGCTTGCAAATATGGTACAGCAAGTTTTGTAGCTTGCAAAAGGAGTGCCGCAAGTTTTGTAGCTTGCAATTTTGGTACAGCAAGTTTTGTAGCTTGCAAATGAAGTACCGCAAGTTTTGTAGCTTGCAAATATGGTACAGCAAGTTTTATAGCTTGCAACAGGAGTACCGCAAGTTTTGTAGCTTGCAAATATGGTACAGCAAGTTTTGTAGCTTGCAAATGGAGTACCGCAAGTTTTGTAGCTTGCAAATATGGTACAGCAAGTTTTGTAGCTTGCAAAAGGAGTACCGCAAGTTTTGTAGCTTGCAAATATGGTACAGCAAGTTTTGTAGCTTGCAAAAGGAGTGCCGCAAGTTTTGTAGCTTGCAATTTTGGTACAGCAAGTTTTGTAGCTTGCAAATGAAGTACCGCAAGTTTTGTAGCTTGCAAATATGGTACAGCAAGTTTTGTAGCTTGCAAAAGAAGTACCGCAAGTTTTGTAGCTTGCAAATATGGTACAGCAAGTTTTGTAGCTTGCAAAAGGAGTGCCGCAAGTTTTGTAGCTTGCAATTTTGGTACAGCAAGTTTTGTAGCTTGCAAATGAAGTACCGCAAGTTTTGTAACTTGCAAATATGGTACCACAAGTTTTGTAGCTTGCAAATATGGTACAGCAAGTTTTGTAGCTTGCAAATGGAGTACCGCAAGTTTTGTTGCTTGCAAATATGGTACAGCAAGTTTTGTAGCTTGCAAAGAAAGTACCGCAAGTATTGTACTTGCCAATATGGTACAGCAAGTTTTGTAGCTTGCAAAAGGAGTACCGCAAGTTTTGTAACTTGCAAATATGGTACAGCAAGTTTTGTAGCTTGCAAAAGGTGTACCGCAAGTTTTGTAACTTGCAAATATGGTACAGCAAGTTTTGTAGCTTGCAACAGGAGTACCGCAAGTTTTGTAGCTTGCAAATATGGTACAGCAAGTTTTGTAGCTTGCAAAAGGAGTGCCGCAAGTTTTGTATCTTGCAATTTTGGTACAGCAAGTTTTGTAGCTTGCAAATGAAGTACCGCAAGTTTTGTAGCTTGCAAATATGGTACAGCAAGTTTTGTAGCTTGCAACAGGAGTACCGCAAGTTTTGTAGCTTGCAAATATGGTACAGCAAGTTTTGTAGCTTGCAAAAGGAGTACCGCAAGTTTTGTAGCTTGCAAATATGGTACAGCAAGTTTTGTAGCTTGCAAAAGGAGTGCCGCAAGTTTTGTAGCTTGCAATTTTGGTACAGCAAGTTTTGTAGCTTGCAAATGGAGTACTGCAAGTTTTGTAGCTTGCAAATATGGTACAGCAAGTTTTGTAGCTTGCAAAGAAAGTACCGCAAGTATTGTACTTGCAAATATGGTACAGCAAGTTTTGTAGCTTGCAAATATGGGACAGCAAGTTTTGTAGCTTGCAAAAGATGTACCGCAAGTTTTGTAGATTGCAAATATGGTACAGCAAGTTTTGTAGCTTGCAAAAGGAAAACCGCAACTTTTGTAGCTTGCAAATATGGAACAGCAAGTTTTGTAGCTTGCTAAAATGGTACAGCAAGTTTTGTAACTTGCAAAAAGAGTACTGCAAGTTTTGTAGCTTGCAAAAGGAGTACTGCAAGTATTGTACTTGCAAATATGGTACAGCAAGTTTTGTAGCTTGCAAAAGAAATACCGCAAGTTTTAATGCTTGCAAATATGGTACAGCAAGTTTTGTAGCTTGCAACAGGAGTACCGCAAGTTTTGTAGCTTGCAAATATGGTACAGCAAGTTTTGTAGCTTGCAAAAGGAGTACCGCAAGTTTTGTAGCTTGCAATTATGGTACAGCAAGTTTTGTAGCTTGCAAAAGAAGTACCGCAAGTTTTGTAGCTTGCAAATATGGTACAGCAAGTTTTGTAGCTTGCAAAAGGAGTGCCGCAAGTTTTGTAGCTTGCAATTTTGGTACAGCAAGTTTTGTAGCTTGCAAATGAAGTACCGCAAGTTTTGTAGCTTGCAAATATGGTACAGCAAGTTTTATAGCTTGCAACAGGAGTACCGCAAGTTTTGTAGCTTGCAAAAATGGTACAGCAAGTTTTGTAGCTTGCAAATGGAGTACCGCAAGTTTTGTAGCTTGCAAATATGGTACAGCAAGTTTTGTAGCTTGCAAAAGGAGTACCGCAAGTTTTGTAGCTTGCAAATATGGTACAGCAAGTTTTGTAGCTTGCAAAAGGAGTGCCGCAAGTTTTGTAGCTTGCAATTTTGGTACAGCAAGTTTTGTAGCTTGCAAATGAAGTACCGCAAGTTTTGTAGCTTGCAAATATGGTACAGCAAGTTTTGTAGCTTGCAACAGGAGTACCGCAAGTTTTGTAGCTTGCAAATATGGTACAGCAAGTTTTGTAGCTTGCAAATGGAGTACCGCAAGTTTTGTAGCTTGCAAATATGGTACAGCAAGTTTTGTAGCTTGCAAAAGGAGTACCGCAAGTTTTGTAGCTTGCAAATATGGTACAGCAAGTTTTGTAGCTTGCAAAAGAAGTACCGCAAGTTTTGTAGCTTGCAAATATGGTACAGCAAGTTTTGTAGCTTGCAAAAGGAGTGCCGCAAGTTTTGTAGCTTGCAATTTTGGTACAGCAAGTTTTGTAGCTTGCAAATGTAGTACCGCAAGTTTTGTAACTTGCAAATATGGTACCACAAGTTTTGTAGCTTGCAAATATGGTACAGCAAGTTTTGTAGCTTGCAAATGGAGTACCGCAAGTTTTGTAGCTTGCAAATATGGTACAGCAAGTTTTGTAGCTTGCAAAAGAAATGCCGCAAGTTTTAAAGCTTGCAAATATGGTACAGCAAGTTTTGGAGCTTGCAAAAGAAGTACCGCAAGTTTTATAGCTTGCAAATATCGTTTAGCAAGTTTTGTAGCTTGCAAATGAAGTACCGTAAGTTTTTTAGCTTGCAAATATGGTACAGCAAGTTTTGTAGCTTGCAACAGGAGTACCGCAAGTTTTGTAGCTTGCAAATATGGTACAGCAAGTTTTGTAGCTTGCAAATGGAGTACCGCAAGTTTTGTAGCTTGCAAATATGGTACAGCAAGTTTTGTAGCTTGCAAAAGAAATACCGCAAGTTTTAATCCTTGCAAATATGGTACAGCAAGTTTTGTAGCTTGCAACAGGAGTACCGCAAGTTTTGTAGCTTGCAAATATGGTACAGCAAGTTTTGTAGCTTGCAAAAGGAGTACCGCAAGTTTTGTAGCTTGCAATTATGGTACAGCAAGTTTTGTAGCTTGCAAAAGAAGTACCGCAAGTTTTGTAGCTTGCAAATATGGTACAGCAAGTTTTGTAGCTTGCAAAAGGAGTGCCGCAAGTTTTGTAGCTTGCAATTTTGGTACAGCAAGTTTTGTAGCTTGCAAATGAAGTACCGCAAGTTTTGTAGCTTGCAAATATGGTACAGCAAGTTTTATAGCTTGCAACAGGAGTACCGCAAGTTTTGTAGCTTGCAAATATGGTACAGCAAGTTTTGTAGCTTGCAAATGGAGTACCGCAAGTTTTGTAGCTTGCAAATATGGTACAGCAAGTTTTGTAGCTTGCAAAAGGAGTACCGCAAGTTTTGTAGCTTGCAAATATGGTACAGCAAGTTTTGTAGCTTGCAAAAGGAGTGCCGCAAGTTTTGTAGCTTGCAATTTTGGTACAGCAAGTTTTGTAGCTTGCAAATGAAGTACCGCAAGTTTTGTAGCTTGCAAATATGGTACAGCAAGTTTTGTAGCTTGCAAAAGAAGTACCGCAAGTTTTGTAGCTTGCAAATATGGTACAGCAAGTTTTGTAGCTTGCAAAAGGAGTGCCGCAAGTTTTGTAGCTTGCAATTTTGGTACAGCAAGTTTTGTAGCTTGCAAATGAAGTACCGCAAGTTTTGTAACTTGCAAATATGGTACCACAAGTTTTGTAGCTTGCAAATATGGTACAGCAAGTTTTGTAGCTTGCAAATGGAGTACCGCAAGTTTTGTTGCTTGCAAATATGGTACAGCAAGTTTTGTAGCTTGCAAAGAAAGTACCGCAAGTATTGTACTTGCCAATATGGTACAGCAAGTTTTGTAGCTTGCAAAAGGAGTACCGCAAGTTTTGTAACTTGCAAATATGGTACAGCAAGTTTTGTAGCTTGCAAAAGGTGTACCGCAAGTTTTGTAACTTGCAAATATGGTA